TTAGCATGACAGTGATGTGGTCTGAGGCACCGAGGTGGGGGAGGGGGAGGGCCTTGTAAGCTCCTCTCTGTGTGGTGTAAACAAAGTCCAGAGTGTTGTTTCCCCGTGTTGGAAGTCTATGTGTTGGTGTATTTTTGGGAACACGCTCTTTAAGTCTGCGTGGTTGAAATCCCCAGCTAAGATGAGAAAAGCATCAGGGTGGGCTGTCTGCTGCTCACTGATGTGCTGGTACAGTTCATTCAGTGCCTCGCTCCTGTTGCTGTTGTTGGAGCTGGGAGGGATGTATACAGCAACGAGCAGTATGGCTGTATATTCCCTCGGTAGATAGAACGGCCGGCACTTAATAATCATAAACTCCACCAGGGGTGAGCAGTGTTTGCAGACCACAACAGCATCGCGGCACCACACGTCATTGATGTAAACACAAAGCCCGCCGCCGCGGGTCTTACCTCCCTCGACGCGAGCTCTGTCCGCTCGATAGCATGTCAGCTGATCGAGATGAATAGCGCAGTCCGGAACGCTGTTGTTGAGCCATGTTTCCGTGAACACAAAAACACAACAGTCTTTTACAGTCCTCTGAGTTGAAAGAGACTTAACTGTCCCCTTAACTGTCCGCTCTGTCGCATAATTACCATAGACTGTATAAAAACATGGACGTAGTGTCCGTGACGTCACCCGTAGGTTTCCGAAGAGCGTTTTTGAAGCCTAAAGTAGGCGGAGCTGGCCGTCGCCATCTTGGCAGCGCGTCACCACACGTCACTCCCGGATAATTGAAAATGGGCAAAGAGGCAGGAGCTGGTTGCTGAAACCATGCCCACCTAGTTCAACGCTGGTGACAGCAGCGGCAATCCACCTGTCACTCAAGTGGCCGCGCCCTTAATTATGCAGAACTTTAAGGCTTAATATAATTTAAACGATGAGTTATAAAAAAATTCACCCCCCTCACAGTTGTCATGAAGGGCAAAATTAGCTATATACGCTGTAAACATGTTTTTTTTGCTGTAAAGTTGGGCATTTTGCACCCGGTCGCGTGCATCTGCCATGTCTGTAGTTTTTTTAACACTTTTTATTCGTGTTTGTAGTTCTCAACCGAATCATTCGTCAAAGCGTATTGGATTGTGGGTATTATTAGCCATTTGAGTGTGCACGGATCCACACTTCAAAAATCGACCTGAAATAGTAGACCATCCGGGGACTTTTGGCATACTCTTTTCAACATACTATGCTTTGGGACACATTAATTCTAATCTCACATACTATTTAGGATGGATAGTATGAACATTGGGATGCAGGGATAGAATGAACGTACGCGTCTCTTTCAGATGTGAAATCTATGAATCGCAAATGATCTTGAACTTGCACGCAACTGAATGATTTCAGCTCTCTGCCTTGTAAATGACTCCTAATTAATGTCATTAACATAAAAGATCACCAGTCATTGTCCAAATGATTCAACTGACCTATCAGTAAGCCCCTCCCCTCGAACGCAGATGAGCCAATAGCAGTCGAGTATCAGTTGCACGGGGAGCGGAACACGGACATCTGTAGGTTTCAGCACCATAGAGAAACATTGGAAGATCTGAAGCTCGCATCGGTTTTATGGGGTTTATACTTCAAAAATGGAAAAACGATGTGCCTGGGGTACTTGTAGCAGTGATTCCAGGTATCCTGAGAGGATAGGCAATGGAATTTATTTTATTCTATTTCCTAAACCCAAACAAAACGGAGCAAAATATCCCAAAGCATTCACCCCCAATCCCAATGAAGACAAAACCGTTTGTTTTCTGGTTGTCATACTCTAATTAAAGGCACAATATGTAATTTTTTGCCACTAGTGGGCGCGTATTCAAAACAAACAAAGAACCAAAGGCATAATTTGATGACGCCGTGACTGAGTGTGGAATCATGGGAGTTGTCGTCTTCATCCCCACAGCCGAAGCTAATGTATTAAAGATTTATTAACGTCGTAGTATGAAGCAGAGTGAGGCGGAAAACCGTCGAAGCAAAACGAGGCCACTGAACAAGCGTGACACACAGCTCGACCGCTTCCGCTCCTTCCTGGAAAGCAGCGGAAGTAAGCAGCGCTGTTTTATCATACTAGATACATTTGAATGTTCTGTTATAATGCTACTCTGTGCGGTCGTCACCTGTCTAATAAAATG